TAAAGCTAAGAAAGGCTCTTGAATAAAACCTTAAGAGACTCCTGTAATTATAGGGAACCTGTAATCCAACTGCCGTCAATTCTAGCAGTGCAAGATCTTCTAGACTGAAATCCAGTTGTCATAAATTCTAGCCCCTGTGTCTGATTGTGAAGAGTGATGGAGGCTGCAGTGGAAAAACACCCGGAGAGCTTGGTAGATGACACTGAGCTGCATAGATCAATTCTAATCTACATCAAGTTATCCTATAAAATTATCTGCTAGATTGAATCTGATGGATTTAATCTTTCTCCTCCTTCACAATTCAAGAACTATTCAAAGAAGGAGAATTTGCTCACCACAGCGTAAGAAAACAGGAAGATGGTATCCAATGTTCCAAGGAATAATGTAGCTTCTTCAGTATTAGGGAATAGATGACTGCTGTTCCAAAGCTACAAAGAAAAGTCAAGATTACTATAAAGTGAAATGGCAAATATGTGGATAATATAATATAGCTCTATATCAGCTCTAAATTAAACAACACCTCGCTTAATGTCTTTAATCCTTCAGATTCCAGTCATTAATATTTCTGAAGCCATGTAGTCCAGATCACCTAAAGCAGTGGTTCTCAACCTTTTTAATGCCACGACCCCAACCGGTCGTAAGTCGAGGACTAAACCGGTCGTAAGTCGAGGACTAAACCGGTCGTAAGTCGAGGACTACCCAACCGGTCGTAAGTCGAGGACTTTCCCTGCCCGGGAGCGCCGCGCATGCGTGGTTCTGCCCCCTGTGCCAGCCGAGGCGTAGCTGGCAAGCGGCAGAGACGGAGCAGGCCGACCACCAGCTGGCCCAGCCCAAGGGAGGTAAGGCACCCGCCGGAAAAGGAAAAAAATGGCTGACAAAAAAATGGCGGACAGCCTTGCTTGGCGACCCCCATGAAATGGTCGATCGACCCCAAATGGGGTCCCGACCCACAGGTTGAGAACCACTGACCTAAAGGCTAGGAGGTAAAGTGTTAAATTTGTCGTCCCTCTCGTGCTACGTAAGAGACACAGAAACCCAGCAATCCTGACTGATCATATTCATAGTAATTTCTAGTAAAACAGAATTTAAAAAGATCCCTCTCCAGTTTCACTTCTACAAAAAAAGAAAGACTTCCAGTTTCTGAGACAGAGAATAAGAACAATGTCTGTCTGGGTTTCTGTACAAAGTATTTCAGTTGTATCCAGTTAAAGATCTTCATTATTAATTTGCTAGACAGAACTTGACCATTTCTAATGAATGAGTCGGGCTGCAAAGTGAAAAAAAGAAAACATGAAAACACAGAAACTGTGCAATATCTTAGATGTTTCCTTTAATTTTCAAAGGACCACCTCCTAATCATCAGGGAGCATAGCAGCTTGCCCTGCTACTTCTTGTTAATGGAAAATGCCAGTGTTTACAGAGCAAAGAACACTCCTAGAAAGCATATCATTAGAAAAAGGAGACATCACACAATTCCCTTTCTCCTGGTTTGCCTAAGCTTAGCTATACTTAACATATCCAGCATCAATCAGTAAATATTTAATGGAGACAAGGTTACCTCTGAACACCTGTCTACATAAAAAACAGCATGATACTGGTCTAATGAGAGGGGGTCTCGAAAGCCAATTCTTCACATTAGGGATGTGAGAAAGAGCATTAATGACTTCCTAGATCCTGCTGCACTAACAATTCCTAGAAGCCCCAGATAAAAGACCACAGATTCTTTCTCCTACTTTTGATTCCTATTCCCTTGAGTCAATGTAATATCTAGAACAGGGGTCTTCAAACTTGGCCCTTTTATGATTTGTGGACTTCAACTCCCAGAATTTCTCAGCCAGGCGTGCCTGGCTAAGGAGTTCTGGGAGTTGAAGTCCAGAAGTCATAAAAGGGCCAAGTTTGAAGACCCCTGATCTAGAAATATGCAGGTACTATGTGTCTAGAATGTAGCTCAGGCCAAGAAATCAACTCCACATTAAGATAACAGAATCGTACAAGCCTACTTATGCTTTACCTCAGTGTTTCTCAATCTTGGCCGCATGATGATGGGGGGACTTCAACTCCCAGAATTCCCCAGCCAGCTTCCTACCACTGCTTTATCTCTTCCTTAAAGAGGGGTCTGCCTGCTTTTTTGCATTCCTCCTTCATTGTTTGGGCTTAAGCAACATTTCCCTCCTTGTTGCTATATGAATGGATCTTCCTCTCCCTCTCTCTCCCTCTCTTTCCTTTCTACATCATGGGTCTGAAAGGGGATGTCTTTTCTTCCCAGAAGACCCTTCTTCTAAGCCCCCACAACTACACATCAATGAAGAAATACAGTAGACTACCACAATTCTGGCTGAATAGTGTGGAACTTCTAGCCTGTCTAATTGAAGAATTTATCACAGTGTCTTGTCTTCACTAAATTCTAGAAAATAATCAGGGATAATTTGGATTTTTCTTGCCTGAAGCTCAAGATGACAAAATTCACTGAAACCCTCTAAAATCCTGCAAGCACAAGGATAGGTAGGCAATTATATAGTCCTGTACACAAGGAAGTTTTTAACAAAAATCCCCTTTTAAACAGTACAAAAGGCTAGACACATTAAGTGGAATGTATTGGTAAAACCAGGAAGAATAATGCCTAGTCTTTGAATTTTAATCTGATTTATTTTTACTTACTTTGGCTTGTTTTTAACTCTGTTTTTAAACTATACTTTTCTTCATGTATTTAGTTTTTTTTAATAATGTTGTAACAGGTGGGATGGGCAGTGTAGAAATTTAATGGTGACTGTAAATAAGGCATACACTAGGCTTTATTCAGATGCAATACAGGTAGTCCTCAACTTATGACCACAACTGAGCCCAAAATTTCTGTTGCTAAGTGAGATGTTTGTCAAGTCCTAATAACTAATTATGATCACTCCTTTCAATGCAGAGGCAGGAATCCTTCCCTTTGCAAAGCCTACAGAATCCTCCTCAATCCCTGAAACTTGGGGCAGCTACTCTTTAGCTAGGGATCTATAAACATCTCATAAAAGCTCTGGAATCTATTCTGAAGCTCTAGACCAGACATGTCAAACACAAGGCCCGGGGCGAAGTGGTTTCATGTGGCCCGCGAAGCCATCCTGGAAACAGTAAGGGAACGGCCCCTTCTGCCTTGGCCCTGGCCCAGGCCAGCCGGGAGCCAATGTACAATTTTGTGGTGGCCATCTATGCTGAAACGCATTCAGTCTTAGCTCCATAAGCCCCCCCCCACACACACATGGCCTAAGAGGAACAGTGAGGCTCCTCCAGTGGACCATGCCTTGGCACTTGCTCTGGTCCCATCCCCTTCTGCCAGAGACCCTCAGATCTATCCCACTCCTGCCCAGGCCCCCACAGACATCCTTGACACGAACGGTGTAGAGCTGGCCACATCCAACCAGTAGGCCACACCCACTCCATCCACGCCCACCCAGTAGGCCGCACCCACCCTGGCCATACCCACCCAGCCCCCTGAGGGCAACCACAATGCTGATGTGGCCCTCAATGAAATTGAGTTTGACACCCCTGCTCTAGACTATAACAGTATAAGAGTGTAAGAGCTCTTCTTCACAACATTAGGGTTTCATATCATATTAAATGTCTCTTTCATATCACTTCTTGATGCCTAATTTAAGATTCCTCTTCTTCCCTAAAGAGAGGTTTTGCCTCTAGTCCAGGCATGTCAAACTGCCAGCCTGCGGGCCAGATGCATCACGCCGAAACCGCGCACACCCCATTGCCAGCAATGGGGAAAAAGTCGCGATACGTTGCGCAACGTCACGAGTTTGACATGCCTGCTCTAGTCTCTGCCTCTTCATGTCCAAGACAGCCAGCACATATAGCAAAGATAATTCTTGCATCCTCGAATATAGCACATCCTAAGACCAGTTCCTTTCACTTCCATGTTATTCTGATGGAGAAGAAATAACAAAAAAAAGTCCTCCTTCCTTGATTCCCCTCAACAAATTCTTGTTGGCTTGCTTGTTCTGCAGCCAACTTTCTGAGGAAATATTAACTTGCGCAGGGCTTTGAAAAATCAGTAAATGTAAACACCCTTACCTCATATGGTTGAAGAATGAAGGCAGAGTCATTAAAGCCTGAGGGGGTCCATTGGCTGGAGATGCTGACCTTGACGTTGCTAAAGGTCTTTCGGGAGGCATGGAGAAGAGAGTAGCTAGGAATTTTAAAAAGAAGAATTACAAGAAAAGAAAGAAAAAATAAACATATATTATTACCACAGATCTACAAGGAGTCCAACGAGGCATTATTCTTGTATCTAGCAAGGAGAACATTGTTTATGAGTAAAGAAAAATTAAAATCTAGTTTCAGGATATCAGTGAATTGTATAGACCTGGCAGGGGGTGGGGGGAAATGGCACTAAAATTGTATTCCAAATTGTATTTTAGTTTATTCTATCACAATCTTCATAGTGCATTGTGCATTACCTAATTACCACAATACTGTCTTATGTCTAAAGATATTTACCCATGTAGTAGGGCTGTATCACTATTATCCTTCTCATCTTTTCTACTACCTTCTCACATTGGTATTTTACGATTATATTACTTTGTTGTTTGTATGTATACTGGGAGCTTATGAACCGGAGACAAATTCCTTGTGTGTCCAATCACACTTGGTCAATAAAGACACTTTGAGCGCAAGTAACTAAATTTCATTTTTAACGTGTGCCGTTGTGCCCACAGGAAAAAATGACAATAAAGGTCATCTAATCTAAAGTATTTCTAATTAATAAAAGATTCTAATCATAGTGCACTGTGAATTTTCTTTTTTATGGTCTCTGCTGAATGACACTGCCTGCCTGATTAATGTAGTCCATGCCAGAAATACTTTAATAAGAAGCTGTCGTTGACATTAGCTATGCCAGTGGTGGCGAACCTTTTAGAGACCGAGTGCCCAAAATGCAACCCAAACCCCACTTATGTATCGCCAGGTGCCGGGTGGGCGTGGCCACCGAATGGGCGTGGCCACTGAGCTGTTGGCTCGTGCTCACTTGCTCGCTGTCCACTCCGACTTGTGCTTGCTCTCTCGCTGTCTGCAGCAAATGCTGCTTCCGCCAAAAGTTGCTCCTTTTATAGCCTCTCGCCTATTTCCAGACTGCGCATGTGCGGAGAGCTGCGCATGCACAGAGAGGAGGAGGGAACAGCTTGGCCCAGCAATGGCTCGCGTGCCACCAGAGACAGCTCCGTGTGCCGCCTGTGGCACGCGTGCCATAGGTTCGCCACCACGGAGCTATGCTGTTGGGACTAATGGATACTATGGATATTCACAAAGGGCTTGAAGGAACAGACCAAATACTTATCTAAATCCAGCATCCTGTTTTCCTCAGCAACCAGATAGCTATGGATACTTATAATTGGTAGATTTATCTTTCATGGATTAAAAAATGGTTAAGATACAACCATAATTGATGAGAAGCTTGTACATAACATTTGTTCTGCACCAACATATCAGATTCTACCATATAAAAGGGACCTTTCAATGCTCTGATTTCATTCAGGTTGCTCAACAATTCAGGTGAGTCCCATGCAGGTTCAGCAACAACCACCTACCTGAAGAAAGTGAGGAGGAACACGGCAACATGATGATGTGTGAATTGTGACACAAGACGTTTGTTTGTAGACTGCCTCCTCTGAGTAATAGGCATAGCTTCCTTTCAGGTTTTCCCAACCTCTTCCCCCAGCTTTCTTTGCCCCTGAAGGCTGGAATGTAAATTATGTCATTTCTCTTCACCTTTTAAAAATAAAATAAAAGCAAAATAAGATCAAGGAACATTGAAACAGACGCAGCAACAGGAAAACATTAAAAAAAATTAAGTCCTACTTTTAAGCAAATGTATTCAATCACATCTATATGCACATATAATTTATTTGAAATATCAGGGAAATTAATGTTTCACATTTCCTGACATATCAGAAGGAATTTTAATGAGGAATGGTTAAATGTCTCCTTCTCCTTCATTGGTGAAATGTTGATATTACTGGAGATGCATTTGGGGAATTGGTACATTAACTCATATGGTTTGGGTGTTTTACTACTGCTAATGTTAGTCTGAAATTCATAAAACTACTGACATGAGTTTGCAGCAAATGTTGATGATCAAACATACATGTTCCCCTATAAAATGTTATACTTACCTCTTATCTTTTTGGTGGGATTTGAAATGTAAAATTCTTACAGTGGCTTAAAAGTTTTTGAACAAAGGAAGCTTGTTCCCTTTTACTTTTTTGGATGTGTGTGTGTGGGGGGGGGATTAAACACTGCTAAGGTGCGATATGCAGTAAACCTTAATCTCCCCAAACCAAAAAAAAGTCCCACATTCTCAGCTCTGCTGTCTCTAGGAGATCACATACACCCTGCAGAAACTGGACAGCCATTTGTCCGAAATGGTATAGGGTTTCCTGCCTGAGCAGGAGGTTGGACTAGATGACCTCCGAGGTCCCTTCCAACTTTATCATCATTATTATTATTATCCTGACTGCCAGACCTCCAAAAGCCTTTCCTGAACATATAGTGCAGGGGCAGTCAACCTTGGCTCTTTTATGACTCGTGGACTTCAATTCCCAGAATTCCTGAGCCAGCTTAGCTGGCTCAGGAATTCTGGGAGTTGAAGTCCACGAGTCATAAAAGAGCCAAGGTTGACTACCCCTGATATAGTGATTGAACTTGGAATCTATTGCAGGTGAACTCTCTGTTCTAGAAGAAAGCTGTGGCCTCTCCCCTAATGCAAACATGCTAGTTTTGCATCATAACTAAGATTATGGCCCACGATATAAAAAGATGGGCCTCCCTCTCAACTTTTCAATATTCACTCAGTTGGTCAGCTACAGAGAATAAATAAAAGCACTTAGCTGCCAGATGCTGCTCTATTCATCAAACATAGCACATTACAGCATACTGCTGTGTTTTCCAGGTTACAGTATATGTGTCTCTTGTTACAGGTTTTAGTAGCTGCATGAAGCCTGATCATTTCTAAGACAGGAATTCATTATTGGAGAACTCTGAAGAGTCTGCTAGGGCTTGCTAGATACTCTGGAATAAGAGTAGGTAAACACCTAAGGAATGGCAATATGCTGACTGCTATTCTTCCTATGGTTTATCAGCACTTATCTATCCTTTATCTGGCTAATTCTCTTAGGAACCAGGAGGGGGAAGGGACAAACAAAATTAACTGCTAAGTAGAAAGATAAGATAAAAGATATGTAGTAGTCTACAGGTAGAGGGTCCTCTTATATGCATACTTTAATTTGTTAACTCCAGCTGTTTATGAATAGGAAATCTCTGGACATCTCAACTAGGGTAGCAGAACTGTTGTCACATGATGGAAACTCTCCTTTCAATAGTATACATTCACATGTGCAGAATGAATCAAGAAATAGAGTAAGCTTCTCTGTGTTCAGTTAGAGCTCCTATAACTGTACATTTGGCATTAGAAAATGGTCCAAACAATATTCCAAGAAAACATGAAACATTTTAAATTCTCATTGGCATACATGTAATTATCCTTTAGCAACAATTGGGTCCTGCAACTCAGTTGTTAAGTGCAGCAGTCGCTAAATGAAACTGTGACTGTGCCTATGATCTTACTTCAGCTTTGCTTTACAGATCTGTGAAATTTGTGTATGTGAGGATTGGTCTTAAGGTTACTTTTATATTACTTTTAACTTTTTCATCACTGTTTTAACTGCAAAAAGTCACCAAACAAGGTGATTGTTAAATAAGGACTGTGTTATATTTGCCATCTTTCTTTTAGAATTCTACAGAGAAGATAATGAGATGTAATCAAGGAAGTATGCAATCCATGTATGATATCGTAACAAATCAGTAGTCCTTCAGCATGCCCCATCCCATCTTTAAAAAGAATAGAGAGCCACATTGTACCTTATGCTTGTAAAGACAGCTGACATTATGTATGTTGTGAGCTTTGCGTATATGAAATTATTATTAGATCTTAACCTTTCCTCCAGCATCTCAAAATAACATATATAGTGCTCCCTGATCCAAATATTTCCTTGACAACAGCCTTTTGAGATTTTTTTGGTGGGAGAGCAGAAAAAAGGCAACCTCAGAGAACCTCAAAATGGCAAGTAAATTATTGGTACTCAGCCTGATTAGTACTCAGGCTGAAGACCATCACAAAATCCCAAAGCTGCAAAAGTTTAGACTGGAAAGTTTCTTTAAAAAAAAAAAGACAGAAGGAATAGCAAATCATTTTCAAATCTTTGCCAAGAAATGTATAAGGGCATCTCTTGTTAATGAAGGGAATCATTAATATTCAATTGAAGTTAACATTTTGGATGGCAGCTTCTACCACAAATTTCTGTATTATGTACTACCCATTCTACCATTAGAACTAATTTAATCATGCACAATGCAAATTTTCCTCAGATAGCGTCAATTGTATGGCCACTTCTGACATTTTCTCATTAAGTAACATGCAATTAAGGAACAAAAAAAACAGATATTTTATAGATATTTTTAGATATAGTTATTGAGAATATGTTTGCAGCATATAAAGCCCTCAATAATTATCTACAAAAATACAACATAGTACCTATGTACAACTTCCCTGATCAAATTGATCAAACACTGTAATGTACAGTCCAAGGACAAAAGAGAAAAAAATATTAAAATCTCTTAAACCAATTGAATGTATTGCAGGTACAAAGACGTTTAATTCCAGGAATTCTCAGCCACAACCACATTGCCAAAGGAATTTCAAGAAAGGATGGCTAAGTACTTCCCAGTTTGAGAAGTGTGTGATTTGTATATGGATCTATTTTATGAACTCCATTAACAATCATTCTTCCACTGTTTGCAATATTGTATTTTCACATTACCTCTTCTTTAGGGTTAGAATAAAGCTAACCTCAAGATTCTTCCAAACAAACATTGGCTTGATATGGATTTGCAAATTATGGCTTGCAGCTTTATGATATAGCCTCAAGCACTATTAACCCAGATGTTGATAACACCTAAACAAATGAGCTCTAAAATCACAGAAAAAACAAGTCCACTCTAGTTCATCAGCAAAGGATGAAATTAAGATTATATCCACAAGAAAGGTAAAATAAATAATAAATTCCTGGCTACAATTTTAAATTAATCTGATGGAGATCATTTGGAAACGGCATTCTTCGACTGTGTTAGTCAGTTTAAGGAGAAATCTTATATGAGTGTGTGAGTGTATGTGTGTATATAAAAAGAGTGTATGTATGTATATAAAAAGAAAATCCCCACGGTTTTAAACCACGCACGTATGTATATGCCTGTGCATGTCTATATACAGAAAAAGAAAAATCCCCAAGGTTTTAAACCACGCATGCACACGTACACGCAGAGTCATTAAAAAAAGAAAGGTATGCAGTGAGCCATCGATAAAGGTTTTGCAACGGCGGGGAAGATGTCCCCAGTTCAACTGCTACGTGGCAGAAAGTGGTCATTAAAGGCACCGCTGTCACAGACAACAGCGGAAAGCGCAGCCCTCGAGAAAGCCACGGAATCAGCGCGCGAATCAGTCAGTCTCGGAGGAATCAGGCCATCCAGAAAGTAAGAGGGAGGGCAGCGTGGGAGCTGACTTGGCATGCCCATACTGCAAACCAACCGGTTAACACGGTCTTAAGCAAGCTGCGAGAAACCCACTCGCGCTCCGATCGCCCCATCTGTCACGGGACAGCCGCTCCTCATCCCACACCGACAAAGCCACCCCGCGCTCCCCGTCCATCATCCTAATTACACCCACCCACCCCGCCACAGAACCTCCACGTAAACACCGCTCACCTGTCCGCATTTCCAAGGCAACTTCCTGGAAGTCACATGACCACCTCCTCTTCCGAGCTCGCGCTCCACTTCTCTCTCTCTCTCTCTCTCTCTCTTTACCACTCCCTCCCCCCACTTCGTCTCCCTTCCTCGAAGTGCACTCTGGGAATTGCAGTCCCCGGGAATTCTCAATGCACCTCCGAACTAGCCCTGCCCGGAGCCCGAAGGAAGAGGTTAAACGGGCTGGAATGGAGCTCATGACTGGTTGGGGGCAAATATGGCGCGGGCTCTGCCTGCTTATTCGAGAGGAGCGCTATCTCGAGCAATAGGTCTTTGCTTCTGAGTAAACGTGAACACGATCGGGTTGTTTCAGACTTGCAGTCTACTGAGCTGCACGGCAAAGTTAACTCGGGCGATGACGGAGTGCTGGTTCCAGTTTGTGCTGGTCTGCGTTCCTAGTCCCTGCGGTTTTCTCGGCAAGATTTCATAAGTGGGTTTGCCATGTCCTCCTTTCTATGGCTGAGAGAGGGATTGGCCCTCTCATAGTTTCCTGGTTTCTAGTCTGGTGCTTAACCACTTCACCAAACTGGTTCTCGGTTTCAGTTTACTGGAAGGTAATTCGTGTTTACATATGCTGAGAGTAAATAATAAATAAATTGGTTTCACTGACTTTACACCAGATTATTAGCCTGTGCTCCCAAACTAACCTCTGACACGTTTGAATTGTGGTGTGGTGTTGAAAAATCTTTCAAAAGTCATTTCAAACATCACTACATCTCCATGTCTGCTGAAGTAGTTGCTGAATGCAGTTCTTAAGATACCTCTACCGTATGCAGGTCAACCATTTCCCCCCTATATTGTTCTCACTGATCAGCAGCAGTTTTCCAGTTCAAAGCACAATTCTTTTCTGTATCTGGAGGTTCTTGGATGTTTTGTGTGTGAACTATTCTCTGAAAATACTTAAGATGTA